CTGGGAGTTGAAGTTCACAGGTTTTAAAGTCGCCGAGTTTGAAAAACACTAATCCAGAACTTTTGGTGACCATGAGCTTGTCCACTCTTACCATCAACACAGAAAGAACTATTCCAATCTTGTCTACAGTCCTCGGATCTTCTGGAAGTCTCCCAACCATATACTAACCACGTTGAACCCAGCTTAGCTTTCCCAAATCAGCCCCCACCCCCAACAAAGCCAGCCATCTTCAGTTACTAAGAGCCCAAAGAAGGGTGGTCCTGAGAACATTGTTAAGGTCAGCATCTCTTTCACTGAACATATTAAATGGGGTGGGACTCACTAGAGGCTGCAGAGACCTGGAGCTGAGGGCCCAGCTCCTCAGTGACATCTATCGTACAGCCATGAACTAGTTTTGATAGCCACACCTTGTTCTCAGCAGCCATACAACCAGCCCTCATGTAGCCTGGGTAATATATGTTAATCTCGGATAACACAGTGTGTGGATCAGCATGTTGAGAAAAAGCCACCCATGTCACTACAACATGGCTTGCTTGAATAGCAGAGCGTGTTCTGGAGACACAGCACTGGGGTTTTGTTAACCCAGGTTTAGGTTTTAGCACGTTGTGTGAATCTAACCAATGGTATGTCTAAACCATAGCACCACGTTGGCTGAACTTTTAAGCATGATTCTGGGGGGCCCAAAATTCAGGACCCCATCTATGAAAGAATAAAAATGAAGGAAGCAAGACCCAAAACTTACCACTCCATGCTGTTCTTCTGCACACCATAACAAAAAACCAATACTACCCAAATAGATCTTAGCATTTTCTAATTCTATATTGAACAACTGACACAGCTATAGGATTCCTATAATCCTGCTCAGGTAGGCCCTTTAAATGGCAGATGATAGAATAGCTCATATTTGGTCAGCTTAAAAAAGGAAGCAATGCCATTATGAGACATTTAAGGGTCTCGGGGGGGGGGGGCAACAGAGAATTTCACGCAAAATATACAGAAAAGCACACGGCCTCATTTTTGCGTCTTTTGTGTGTCCCTGATGAAGAGTTCTGCAAAATAAAAAGGGAAAATTGAAGAATGTGCATTGGATGATAGTTTCTTACAACTAATCTTATCTATCTATATTTATAAAACCAACTTTCATAAATACGTTTGCATAACCTTACTCCATTCTTTACTTTCTTCCTCCTGAACGCCACTGACAGCAAAATAAATAAAACCAAGTTAATTTTAATAACAAATAAGCAAATGAAGATGTTTTATAAGGCTGCCGGTGTTTAAACAAAAAAGTGAACATCCCTTCTCTATTTGGGGAGAAGAGCTGTCACGTTATCAGTGTTATTTGATGTTGCGATCCCATCCAGTTTTGAAACATCTGAATCCTCCTATATCTCGTTCAACATAAGACTTCATAAAACAGCTTATCTGGCCGGAAAGGGTTCTTATCCCAAACTAACCACGCTCCCTTTCCAAAATCCTAGAAAGGATACAAACACAAAGGCTTTTTTGTATTCATACAGCCTTATTTCTGAGCGGATACATGCATGGTGCAATGAAATCCCATTCTAGTCAATGGGGTTTAGCCCCCCATAATTCAAAATAGAATTGCAGTCCAGGATCTGAAGCATTCCTGATCCTGAGCTATGAAGCTCCCTCCGCCCCTCTTTCTAATAAACGTGCACGGAATTGTGGGGTTCATCATCATTATCCCTTTTTTTTTTTTTAAACGGCACTTCAGGAAAAGCAGGACGCTTTATCAGGAAGTTCCTCTGTCAACTTAAACACGTGTTCTTCCCAAAGCATTCCCAAGCAAAGTGGCATTTTCAAATCTGCAGACTTTGCTTGCAGGTTTACAACCTAAAACTATTTATTACAGAAGGACAGAGGTTGCAATGAGGAACACGTTTGGGGCAGGGGGCCAGAAGGAAGACTCCAACGTTGCCGTTTGCTTCCAGCATCTGCTAAGTTGGGCTCTCTTTGGAAGGGGGAAAAAAAACAGCAAGGAAGTGTAAATTAAAAGCACTTACTTGTTACTCTTCAGACAGTTGTAAAAGCCTGCCATGCTCCCTTATCGGCAGTCAGTCAATCCACAAACATGGGAGACTTCATCTTGCACGCAGAAAGGCACCTCCCGTCCCCATCAAGCTGCCGAACTGAACACTGTAAGTGTCCAGTTGTACAGCGTCCAACTTGCCAATTTCCCAGCGCAGCAACAAAGATACGACGGCCAGCTTGCGGACACAATGTGAAGCCCGAGGAGGTTTGCAGAACTGGGTCCAAGGCAGCCTGTGCTTGTTCCCAACCCTGGTACGAACTGTGAACTCCCCCTTTCCCTCTCTCTCTCTCTCTCTCTTATTTTCCAGCTCGACCAAACCGCAGCATCTTGAGGCCAAAATACCACCCATTTGTCTCTTCGAGATAACAAGGGCCTTGGGATGAGCAAGGAAGGAACTGTCCCATCCCCGCCGAAGAAAAGGATAGTTGTAATCGTGACAGTGAAACATTTGGAACGAGAAAAGGAACTAAAGAATCAGTGTCCGCAATTTATCAAGGAACAGTATCAAGTTGCTCCTTCGGGCAAGGAGGAATGAGTCAATGCCACAAAATGTTGCGACGTGCATTATTGTTACTCTGGCTCCAACCCGTTCACCCTATTCCTTTTCTTTCGGTGGCCAGCAACATTCAGGGGCCAGATATTTTTGTGGTCTTATTTGAACTTTTGCAGAAGTTTGCAGAAATCTCTCTACTTCAGTGTTTCTCAACCTTGGGGCCTTTAAGATGCGTGGAGTGCAACTCCCAGAATTCCCCAGCCAGCCATGGGAA